GGGGGGTGGGGCACGGTTTGGATCCCTTATATACATACGCGGGGATTGGATCCAAGCCGTTTGATCAAGTGAGATCAATGGCTTGGATCAATTCCCTTATAGGAAACGATGTCGTTTGGTTTCGTTGGGGGACTGGGTCGATCCGGGGACAAATGGGTCGGGTTGTGGGGATTGTGCTGAGGCGTTGGATCAAAACGATTCAACGGTTGGGATTTGTTGATCCTGAAATGCTGTCATTTCGATTGAGCTGATGGTGGGGTAAAAGCCGGGTATTGGGGTGTTCGAATTGGGCTGTAAGGATTTGGGCCTTGGGGACTTAAATCAATTTGGGCCCAATTTCGATTTCTTTTTCTATTTTTGTTCTTTTCTACTTATTTCCTTTTTAATTCCTAAATTACAACCAAAATCCTAAATTAAATCATAAAATCTACAATTAACTTAAAATATTAGCTCTTAATAATAATTATCACACGAAATTAAACACCAATAAAGATAAAATCATACAATTTGGACATTAAATACAAAAAATCCAAAGTACATATTTTTGTGATTTTTCCATTTTGTAAAACAAACTTGATTGTTTAATTAATTCCTAAATTGTAAAATTAAATCCTAAATGCACATGCAACACATATTTTTGTATTTTTCTTAAAACATGCACAAACAAAAATAAAAATAAATCACAAACAACACAAAACCATTTTATTTGAATTTTTGAGAGTAGTTCTCATAGGGCAAAAATCACGTGCTCACAATCACGGCCTCCTACTCAGCTTTGTTGTTAGTCATATCTGGGCATCTTATGGACTGGCAAATTACTTCGCCTGTTGGAACCTTTAGCACGAGTCCCAGTCCCCATCCCGACACGTTAGAGGTGCCATCTGTATACAACACCTATAGGTCGTGTATTTTGGGGGAAGTATGGGCAGCTTCTTTTTCGAATTCAGGCAATATTTTTGTGCTGAAGTTGGCGAGCACTTGCGGCTTTATTGTCGTTCGCGGCTGATAGGTTATATCATGCTCGCTCAATTCTAAGGTCCATTTGGTCAATCTGCCCGACAGCTCAAGTTTGTGCAGAACACTTCTTAGGGTAAAGGTCGTTACTACCGAGATGGGGTGACATTAGAAATAGGGTCTAAGCTTTCGTGAAGCTACGACCAAAGCTAGGGCCAGCTTCTCGAGGTGTGGATACCTCGTCTCAGTATCAACCAGAGTTTTACTAATATAGTAAATAGGAGATTGTGTACCTTTGTTTTCTCGTACCAGGACCGCACTCACGGCCATATCAAACACGACTAGATAGACGAGGAGACATTCACCAGGTTCCGCCTTAGCGAGTAGTGGAGGTCAAGATAGGTACGCCTTTAGTTCTTTCAAGGCTTCAACGCACTCGGAGTTCCATTGGAGTCCATTGTCTTTCTTGAGAACGCCGAAAATGTATGACATCTATCGGAGGATCGTGAGATGAACCTCGACATGACGGCTATGTGACCGGTTAGCTTTTGTACTTGTTTTTTACTAGTCAGATTCTCCGGTATTCCTTCTATAGCTTTGATTTGGTCGGGGTTGACCTCGATGCCTTGTTGTGATACCAAGAAACCGAGGAACTTTCCCGAGGTTACTCCGAAGGCGCACTTTTTGGGGTTCAATTTCATACTGTATCGTTTGAGTATGTCGAAGGCCTCTTTCAAGTGGTCGATGTGATCCTCCTTTCTTTTTAACTTGACCAACATATCATCGATGTAGACTTTCATTGTTTTGCCGAGCTGGTCTTTGAACATTCTTGTCGCCAACCTCTGATACGTCGCCCCCACATTTTTTAGTCCGAAAGGCATCACTCTGTAGCAGTACGTTCCCTGATGAGCGGTGAAGGTTGTCTTCTCCTGATCTTCGTCTTCCATGAGGATCTGATTATATCCCGAGTATGCATCTAGGAAGTTGACCAACCCATGCCCGACCGTTGCGTCAATGAGTTGGTCGATATGAGGAAGTGGAAACGAATCTTTCGGGCAGGCTTTATTTAGGTTTGTGAAGTCCACGCACATCCACTACTTCCCGTTCTTCTTTTTCACCATGACCACATTGGCGACCCATTGAGGATATCTTGACTTCCTGATGGAGCCATTTTCCAACAACTTCTCTACCTCTTCGCGAACTGCGTCATTTATGGTGGCGTTGAGTTTCCGCTTGATTTGTCTCACAGGGGAGTGGAATGGGTCGACTTTCAGCTTGTTTGTTGCTATCTCCTTTGGTATTCCTGGCATGTCTGCAAGCAAACAGGTCTACATTACTTTTCAAGAATTGACGGAATTTACCTAGTTCTTGGAGCTTGTGGTCGATGAAAGCTTTCTTGCTGTGGTCGTTATCATCGAGTTGGACGGGGTCGAGGTCTTCTACGGTTGATCCTGTGGCTTCTACGACTTCGGGGTCTTTGATCACATCCTTCTCGTCCTCGCTCGACCTCGACCCTGTTGATTGCTATGCTTCTTTAGCTTTACCCTTCAATTGTTGGGTGTGTGTGTGCAGTCTTGGGCGATGCAGTAGCATTCTCGGGCGGTGTATTGTTCTCCTTGGATGCTGAATACCCCCAAGGGGTTGGAAAATTTGATGACTTGATATAAGCTGGAGAGGACGACTTTCATGGCGTGTATCCAAGGTTGACCTATGATGGCGTTGTACGCCGTATCCTCATATATATATAATATAATTATACATTTTATATAGAGTACCTTTTCTGCTATATAAAAAATATATAATTATACATTTTATATTATATTCAGGATACTGATTATTCGTTGTAGATTAGTTCATAGGCGGATCTAGGATTTTCGGAGATGAGTTCACCATTACTTTAAAAGAAAAAATTGAATTTCCGGAGAATGGGTTTACCATTATTTTAAAAGAAAAAATGTTTATAGGGGATTCAATCCCCTGACCTTAAGGCTATTGGAAATAAGAGATCAAAACCAGTGCACCACTTGATTTCTTTTGATTATATATATTTTTGCCAAATTATGTACATCATATATATACTTTAACCCGATAATTACGGATTCACGTGAACCACTTTTTACACTGTAGATCCGCCTCTTATTAGTTGTCCATAGTGTTATGCCAATGATAGTTTGGCGAAGCAAATGAGTGGTACAAGGGAGAGAGCAGGAGGATAGTGTAGCAAAAGATGGAAACCAGCTTGCCCACAAAAGTCGTTTTGAGCCGTTTGAAAACAGGGGACCCATCTACATCCAGATTTTCAAATTTATTGAGAGGTTTGAAAAAGTTAATTTGACTCCTCTCTTTCTATATCTGCCACTCTCTCTGTAGTTTATTAAATGTGTTTTTCTTGAAAGTAGAAGAGGGGGGTCCTGGTCCTCTCTCTATCTGTATCTTATTGTCTGTACTAACAAGGGTCAGTCGTCAAGATACTCTCCTTCACACTTTGATACTCTCCTTTTCCTTTAGCTTGAAAAAAGACCAAAAAAGTGCTTCTCTGTAGAGAAGATGAGTGCTTCAAAGTTCATAAAATGTGTAACAGTAGGTGATGGTGCTGTTGGCAAGACCTGCATGCTCATTTGTTACACTAGTAACAAGTTCCCCACTGTCAGTTTCTACTTAACCAACCCCCTCCTCTTTACCTCTTTTTGTGGTTTTACTTGTTCCTCTTTCTTTCTTTTTCCTTTTTTTTTTCTTTTCTTGACCTTGTTGAAGTAGCTAGCTAATAGCACTACTCTATTGGTTAACCTAGCTATTTTGGGCTTTTACTTGCAGGACTATATTCCAACTGTGTTTGACAATTTCAGTGCTAATGTGGCTGTGGATGGGAGCATTGTCAATTTGGGGTTGTGGGATACTGCAGGTACTTCCACTTTTTATTTTTTATTTTCCCAAATGAAATTAGGTTTCTTAGCTTCTACTTGCTAATGGTTTTCTAACTGTGTCTTAAAGGTCAAGAAGATTATAGCAGGCTGAGACCATTAAGCTATAGGGGTGCAGACATCTTTGTGCTAGCTTTCTCTTTAATCAGCCGAGCCAGCTACGAAAATGTTCTAAAAAAGGTACTACTACTATTATCCAACACTTTATTGGTCTCATTCTTTGAAAAATGAAAAAACTTTCTCCTCAACAAATATGTTGGTATATCTTCAACCTGCAATTTCCATATAAATCCATAGATTTACTCCAATAAAAGCAATTCTCAGTTACAAGGATTTAATTTTATTATGAATTGTATGCAGTGGATGCCTGAACTTCGTCGTTTCGCACCCAATGTTCCAATTGTGCTCGTTGGGACAAAATTAGGTATGTATTGAACTGATATAATGACGATCATGATTTACTCTTTGCAGAGATTTCTTCCTAGTCCATAGTATTATAACCTGTGATTAATTTCGCGACAGATCTTCGAGAAGATAATCGGTATCTAGCAGATCATATGGGCTCAAACATTATAACACCTGCTATGGTACTGTGACTATATGATTTTGAATTTGAAAATGCTCAGTATAGATTGTACACCAATAATTCAGTTGGCTCCACTGCAGGGTGAAGAGCTAAGGAAACAAATTGGTGCAGCAGCTTATATAGAGTGCAGCTCTAAAACACAACAGGTATATATTTCAAGTGTGCTACAAAACAAATTTTCCAGAATTTCTACAGTATTATCAGCTACATGTTGACTGCTAGGAAAATTTTCGCTATTAATCATAAAATTTGCCTTTTTACTAAACTGTTTTATGTATCTGTCAGAATGTGAAAGCTGTTTTTGACACTGCAATCAAGGTTGTGCTTCAACCTCCTAGGAGGAAGGAGGTGGCGAGGAAGAAAAGGCGCAGAAGCACTGGCTGCTCAATTGTGTAAGTTCAGCATTTTAATATGTATCTCGTCAGGACAAATTGGACTTTATGCTATTAAACATCTGTATCCTTATCAGTTAGCCTGATCGCTTACATTAGCAACACAAAAAGAAACTTAAGTCAGATGCTTCATCAATTGCAAACCACAACATTGAACTCACTTGGATATTTTACTAAACTAGCAAAATGAGTTTGAAAAAAAAAAACTATAACGGTCAATTTACATAAAGATACTTATCGGAAATATGCTTCATCAGAGCATGTGAAATTGGAACTAGTGTTGTCTGATTATAAGTAAGCAAGCAAGGCAATTGTTTCTGGCTTAGGTGTGGTGGTATGAAGGGTTTTCCAATTTTCCGATATTTGGTTGTCTTATATGTTTTGGAAAATATTTTTCGTTATGAACTCATTTTCCAATTTCCTCCAATTGGAGAAAATGTTTTCCCTGTCAAGAGGCAAAACATTTTTCAAATTTCTTTTTCAACCTTCCTCACCCTATTCTTTCATGTTATGGAACACAAACTTCAACGTTCTTTTTGTGTGAAAAATTGTAGCAGTACATTAGTTTCTTTGGGTTTGTGTGAAAATTTAAAAGAATAATTAAATTCTTGAATAAAATAAAGTTTTGAAAAGATTGGGTATTTGGGGGGGAGCACAAGAAACTATTATCCGGAAATTGTTTTTCACTCACCAAACAAGAAAAAATAATTGATAAAATCACTCATTTTCCATGGAAAACATTTTCCTTTCATACCGAACACACCCTTATTGATCAGTGCTTTTCTAGTCTCAGTTCTGTACGGTTTGCTCCAAAATTCTAAGAACACACTGAATCTTTCTCTCCATATGCCATAATATTGAGGCATCCTTGGTTGCTCTCACTAATGATAGGCATCTGCAGGTGGTCCATATTTATAAAATCTTTTAATTGCTCTGTCAATATTTTTAACTCTACAGATGAAGTATGAAACCATGATATATTTGTTGATCTTCTATTTGTTCAATCTCTAATGTCTCACTTGGTTTCGACAGCAGGGGGATCGTGTGTGGAGGCTGTGTCGCTTAGGAAAGTTTAGGTCTGACGCTCGTCATATATATCCTTTCCAACAACTACTGACTCGAGTGCTTGCCCGTTGTTTTTCCGTGGTTCTAAGCGAAGGCCGGAGATTATGATATGGCTGAAGAATATAGTATTGTATTATCTGTTTTGTACCAACTAGTCGTGGATAAGCAGAGGGAATTGTTGATTCCTCAGGTCATGGTTTTTGAATATGTGCTTCTCGTGGATACATTGTGCCTGCTTTTACTAATGGTTAGATCAAGATGACTGTCAATTGGTAAAAGGAATATCTTCTTTGTGAGGATCATCTGCATATTTGCCCTAAAATGCACTTTATCTCCATTTAATGTTCTTAATGAGTGTCTAACATTTATCATTTACATCTAATATTTCGCAAAGCATAAAGTAGTCAGAATAATACTGATAAAATATCATATGCCAAAGCTAATATACCCACAACAGTCCTGAAGCATCTAATAACATCTAAATAGGACGTAAACCAAATGTGTCACGCCTCAATTTTGAAGGAGCACATGGACGACACTCGATATCTTTAACTTTTATTGAGCGAATCAACTAAACATATTTAACACCCATCATCGTGAACATACAAGCAACATCTCATAAAACATGCATAATATTAAGTGGAACATATGGCTCAATAGCCTAAAAATATCTAAAAGTCATAAACTATGGCTTATAAGCGTCATATATGTTGGTATTGCTAATAATAATAGTACTGCATAGTTAAAGATTACTTTGTGGTCCCTTTTTTTTATTTTTATTTTTTATTTTTATTTCAGTTCTTTGTCTTTTATGAAAGACGAAGTGTCTCTCATTAATCGTGGAAAGTTTCTTTCTTCTCTTTATATTGAATTTCTCTTTGTTGGGTTTGTAAAGAGCTAGTAAAATGGAGTGGCCTCGCGTACGTGAGAAATTGGTGCTGAAGGCAAAATGGGTCGATTTTCCCAACCCTCCCCCCACCACGCGCGAGATATATGTAAGGCCTAATCCAAATCTGGTTTTGCTAAAAAAATATTAATTCTTCATTTTTTGAGCGTACCAGAAAAGTGTCCAAATGCATGCTTATCAAAATATTTCCAAATTCATTCTCTTTGAATTGAATTATGTAACGACCCGACCGGTCGATTTGAGCATTTGCATTCCATTCGATGGTTCGAGGGCATGAACAGCTTCGTATGATGTATTATGACTTGCGTTTATCGTCGAGTTTAGTTTTTGGGTGATTCAGAATTGATTTGGAAGAATGATTCTCATTTTAGAAGCTTTAAGTTGGAAGGGTAGACCAAGTTTGACTTTTATGTATTAGACCTCGAATCAGAGTTTTGATGGGTCCATTAGGTCCGTATGATGATTTTCGACTTGGACGTATGTCCAGATTTGCATTTGGAGGCTTCTAGAAGGTTTTGGCACTATTTGGAGGTTTGAAAAGTTCATAGGCCTGATTGGAAGTTGAATCTGATATTATCGGGTTCAGATTGTTGTTCTGGGGGTTGGAATATGTTTGATATGTCATTTGGAACTTGTATGCAAAATTTGGGTTAATTCCGAATTAGTTAGGCTTGAATCGGACGCTTGGTTCGAAGTTTAAAGTTTAAGAACTTAAGAGATTAATCTTGATCGACGATTAGTGGTTTTAATATTATTATGTGCGATTTGAGGCCTCGAGTAGGTCCGTATTATATTTTGGGACTTGTTGGTATGTTCGGACGGGGTCCCGAGAATCTCGGGTGAGTTTTAGGGTGGTCTCCAACCATTTCTAGGCCCTTTTTAGTTGCTGATTTTTGGCTACAGGGGTGTGAATCGCAATCGCGAACATTTGGTTCACGTTCGCGTCGAGCAAATTGTTGTTTAGGCTTTGTGAATCGCGATCACATGAAAGAATTTTTGTTGTCACAAGACTGACTTTGGAAGCCTATATCTTGTAATCTATAAAGAATTTGGAGATAATCCAAAAATAAAAGTTGTAGCCCTTTATGTCTAGTTTTCAGAAAATAAAACTGTTTGTCATTTAGAGTTGTGCACGAAAAGTTATGACCAATATACTAGAGGTTGTCTGGAAGAGTTGGGCAAGCTTGTTGGAATTTGTTCATCGCAATCACGGAGACATGGCTGCGATCGCGAAAGGTAAAAGTTGTGCTGGAATTTTTTGAATCGAGATCTCGAGGTTGGCGATCACGATCACAAAGAAGGACCCCCGACAGTGCATTAAAACATCAAATTTTGGAATTTTAAGTTTATTTTCTTCAGTTTTTGAGTTCTTGGAGCACAAGCAAAGCGATTTTGGAGGAGATACACACCCAAATCTTGTGGGTAAGTAATTTTATCTTTGTTTTGATTATATATTTTATTTTTTCATGGATTATTACACCTAAATCAAGGATTTGAAGAGAAAAAATTGGGAGGTTTTTGTCTAAAGTGATTATTTCAGATTTGAAATCGATTCGGAGTCAGATTTAAGTGAAATTAGTATGGTTGGACTAGTAATTGAATGGGTTGTTGGAATTTGTGAGTTTTGTCGGGTACCGAGGTGTGGGCCAAAGTTTGAATTTTTGGTTGACTTTGAGTTTTTGATTAAAGATTCGTATCGTTTGGGTTTGTTCCCTTTCGTATTGTTTGATATTTTTGAGTTGCTTTTGGCTAGTTTTGATCCGTTCGGAGGTCGATTCGCGCGAGATGGCATTTCTAGAGTATTGTTTGGCTTGCTTGAGGTAAGTATCCTATCTAAACTAGGTTGAGGTACTAGTGATCTAAGTTATTAGCGATAGCTACGTGTTATGGGTGCGCATATGTGTGGGGTTTGAGCCCATGTGCGAGCCCTAGGGTATTTGTACACGCTCGGGGTAGCGCTTAGACTATGACATGTCTTGAATTGATCTCTGATGTATCTCTTATTTGTATAACCTGGTGTGAGCTATTTGAGCCACGTTTGAGGTTGAGTAGAGTTTAATCACCTGATTTAGCGTGATAGCTGCTATTTTGTGATGTATTCACATATTTTGAGTTATGATATCACACTTGCACATGCATACACCTTAGAATGACACTTATACCTGTCCAGAATTATGAAATTTGGTGTTCTTTGATCATGTACATGTATTCTTGCATATCTGCTTTATGCGTGATATAGTTTGGACTGGTAGCCTATGACCACGCTGGACGGATTATGATATTGTGCATGTAACCACGTCAGGCGGATTGTGATATTTTGTCTGTGACCATGCCGTGTAAATTGTGATTATTAGCATGTGAGTTGTCCGTGTGGTTGTTATATTATTAGCACGTGAGTTGTCCGTACGGATCCAGATATTGATATTATTGGCACGAGGGTTATCTGTGCAGCTTGTGAGTTGTCCTTGCGGTTGATATTATTAGCACATGAGTTGTCCGTGCAGCGTGTGGATATGGATTCATTCCCCTTAGGTTCACCCTCTCATACTTTTCTGAGAAATGTAGCCATCCATCTTAAAATAATGGACGCATGTTATTTGTGTATTTATTATTATTTTTGTCTCCCTTTTTTGTCTTCTTCTTCGTGTTCTCGTATGATACTATTTTAAAACAAGGAAAACCTGAGAAAGAGGGTTTCTACATAGAGGGATTAATAGAAATTAGAAAATTATGGGCACTTCGACTAGTACAACCCCTATGTTTTCTTCATCTGCGAAATAATTAAAAAATTATTTACACTATAATATCTTATTTAGTGAGAATGTGAATTGATCTGATTTTTTCTTGGGGGAAGGGATGAGGGGCTACATACTTAATAAATCGCTTCAAATACATCAAAAAAAATTAGAAAATAGTTTGTTACTTTTCCACAATTGAATAACTCATACTCATATTTATTCATTAATCAATAGACTGTTTTTTCCAAATCAATACTCACCATTGTGGTGGGAGGCTTAGGTGTGACCCCAACCTGTATATTAACAAAAAGAAGTAGCAGAGTGCGGGATGGGGACTTATAATCTCATCCCATCCCACAATACAAAATATAAGGCTCTCATTTTCTATAGCTATCATGCTTTGTACATACAAGAGGATGTAACACACGATATAGGTTAGGATTAAGAACTATTTACAGAAGCTATACAACAAAATGGTTCTTTCTAGACTTGATTCTAAAATTAATCAGTTGGTCTCTATCTGTCTTCAAGGTAGCTCTCACCTTTCCGGGTAGGATGTTAGCCTCAATGAAGAAAGTAGATGATCTTCTTTGTAAGCTTCAATTAGCAAGATAATCAGTTGTGCAATTGGCTTCTCTAAAGCAATAAGAAAAATAGAAGTTGCCTTCCTGTACCAACTCCAAAATTTGCTCCAGATGTGAGAAATTTGCCATGAGACGAAAGAAAGGTTGTTGATAGCATTGATTAAAATATGTGAATCAGATTCAACAAAAATCTCCTTGTAACCCTTGTCTAGACACCATTTAATTCCCATGATAATGGCTTTCTCTTCAGCCATATTACTTGTGCAAACACCAAAAAATCTAGAGAAAGCCATCACCAAATCTCCTCTTTGATCTCTCAAAATACCACCTCCTTCTGCTAGGCCTAGATTTTCTTTACTGCATCCATCTGTGTTGAGTTTGAGATATCCATCATGTGGTTTTCGCCATTTGACAGGGATAACATTGAGAGCTGGTTTAATCTTTTCCAGAATAAAGTATAGATGCTTCCGTTATTAAACTTAGGAAGAGTAACAAAATTGTTGGTGATAAGAGTAATCATATAGGATTGAATCTGGTAGATTAGCCTTTGCATAGAGCTACTCCTTCACCATATCTACCTGCACACCTCCTTTTTCAGATCTCCCAACAGATAATGCTCGGCAAGCATTGCAAGATAAATTCTAGAATTGTATTGCTACTTTTAGTGAACTACCACTTAATAAGAGTTTGCCTTAAATCACCAGTGAAGGAAACTCCAAATGAATTTCTAAATACATTCCAGGCAACTAGAGCACCATCATTTTTCATAAAGATATGATTAATAGTTTCAGCTTGTGGGATTCTGCAGCATGAGCAACAAAAAGGTCCAATAAAACCAAATTTGCTGGTGATATCATCGGTATGTAATGTTTTATTTAAAAGTCTCATCATGAAGAATGAGATTTTAAAAGGAAGCTTTTTGTGCCAAATTTTTCCAGTTGTAAAAGTGTGTTTCTTGGTCTGTTTTAGCTCCTGCTATGCCGACCTGCAAGAAAAAGCTCCAGTATTAGTATTGGTCCAAATAGGTTGGTCTTTTTTAGTTTGTGTAGGAGGAGGTAAAGATATAATTTCTA